GCCATTCATTTCCGTCCAATTGGAAGACTACATTCTATTTTCAAATTAGTTTTTGATGAATTTGCCAATTGGAGCCTGAAGCACATACATATGTACATATATGTACATACATATATGATCTACGTTTAGGGTGCCACAATGCACAAGCTAAGCAGCTTTATCCATGAGAATACAAAATTTAACCATGTCACACACACGCATACATACATATGTATATTCATATACACCCAAAGATGTGTGCATACGCATATATCCAATTATACGGCGCATGCGCCGCTGCCATCAGAAATGCAGTCGCCAATTGCAAAGCGCATAACTCAACGGCAGCTCAAATGAGAAATATAACAGCAGCAACAACAACAATGAAATTATGCAGCTGAAAACGCATCTGTATCTTTTTCATGCACTGGAAATTCCGCAAAAAGACGTTGCCGATCCGCTAACTTTCTAAAAAAAATAGATGCAGCGCCAGCTAATTACAATCACAATCATGATCATAATGATTGTATTAGCTTTTATATTAGCACTGGGTAGCGCCTAGCCAGGGTATATTATGCCAAATATCTATTTTGTTAATTGCATAATATATGATGATTTATATATAGAATACTCACTGATTTTCTGCATAATTTTGAGAGTACGTATTGTTAACAGGGACAAGGAAATAGAATAAGAGAATGGGGTAGATAGAGAAAGAGCAAGTGAGAAGGTTAGAACAGAACAGAGAGATAAAGAGATGAAGGAAAACAAAAGAAAGGGAAAGGAGGGAAGGCAAGTGAAGAAATGAAAGAGAGAGACTATGATAAGTACACATATGTATGTAGAATACCTTAGAAGCCACCCACCCACAAAGTAAACTATAAAATATTTTCACATATTGGTTTTCAAGGGTATCTCATAGCCGTTGCCTATGGCAGCTCGTAGTTGAGTCGTTTATTACCTGCTACAGACCGCACACTTGAGCTTACACCTGATATTCTGGAGTCTCAATTGCTGCAGCTGCCAGCGTCTCGCTCAAGGGCCCAACTTGGCCAACCGGTGGTGGGCAGGCTATATATATACATGTATATATGTATGTATGCGCGTATATATAGAGATAGATGCGCAGATATACATATGTAGCTGTAGCTATAAATAGAAGAGCGACGCTCGACGCCCAGCTGATCGGCCAACTCATCTTGAAATTTATAACCAACGCCTCTCACTCGTAATTGCAGGGCATGGCGCATTGACTCTGGCATTTGGCTTTGAATACCAAACCAGATCCAGTCGGGAGCTGTGATCATGCTGCAGCCAACGCTCGCATCAGAGCTGGAGGGGAATGGCGGTGGCCAGGATAGCATTGTGTTGGGCATGGCGGGCGTGTGCCTAGACGACACCGACATCGATGTTGATCCGGATGCGGATGTGGATGTGGATGTCGACGTCGACGTGGATGCTGTGCCCGAGCGTAAGCCACATTTCTTAGACTATGATGCAGCTGCGCCGCCAGATTATGAGGAGAATTATGGCTATAGAATTGCCGCCGGGGAGCAGCTGAAAATGGACAAGAAATTCGAACGGGATGGCGAGATAAGCGATTACGAGCTGGCCGCCAGTGGCTATACCAAGAAGGAGTTCACCCAGGACGATAATACGCTGCACTACACCCAAAGCAGCGGCGCAGCTGGCGCCAAGAAACCAGCCAAGCACTTTCTGGATGAGAATCCAATACCGCCTGATTATATGCTGGCACAGGAGCTGCGCGAACATCGAAGCCTAGATCGGAATTTCGAGCGGCAGTCGGCGCAGCAACAACAGCAAAAGGAGCTGCTGCCAGCCCAGCGTCTGGGCTCTCCAGCAGGAGTAGGAGCCGGGGTGATGGGCACAAGTGTGGGTAGTCGGGCCTCGCGCAGCAAGGAGCCCTCGTATACGCTCTCTCGTTTCCTGGATGCCGATGCAGCGCCGCCGCCCTTGCCACGCCTACCCAAAGGCACCGCCTGGACGAGCACAAACGACGTGGATGCCACGCTGGGCGCCAAGGTGGAGTGTGTCTACTCGCTGCTGTCTATGCTGGGCTCCAACGATCCGCTGGAGATGTCGAAAAA